ATCAAATTTTCTATTCAGCTCTGGTCTTTTCATCAAGAATGCTTGAAAGTCCTCTATTTCACTGAATAATCATTTTTTCCCCTGCAGGATTATACTCAGTTTTGCTGGGTAGGTGATTCTTGGTAGTAATCCTATCTCCCTTGCTCTCCAGAATATTATATTCCATGCCCTGCGGTCCCTTAATGTAGAAGCAGCTAAATCTTGTGTTATTCTGATTGTGTTTCCACGATATTTGAATTGTTTCTTTCTGGCTGCTTGTAATGTTTTCTCCTTGACCTGGGAACTCTGGAATTTGGCTATAATATTCCTAGGAGTTTTCCTTTGGGAATCTCAGGAGGAGATCGGTGGATTCTTTCAATTTCTATTTTGCCCTCTGGTTCTAAAATATGAAGACAGTTTTCCTTGATAATTTCTTGAAAGATGACGTCTAAGCTCTTTTTTTGATCATGGCTTTCAGATAATCCAATAATTTTTAAATTCTCTCTCCTGGATCCATTTTCCAGGTCAGTTGTTTTTCCAATGAGATATTTCACATTGTTTTCAATTTTTCATTTTTTTGGATTTGTTTTCCATGTCTTGATTTCTCATAAAGTCACTAGCTTCCAATTGCTCTATTCTAATTTTTAAGGAAGTATTTTCTTCAGTAATCTTTTGGACTTCCTTTTCCATTTGGCCAATTTTGCTTTTTAGGGCATTCTTCTCCTCATTGGCTTTTTGGACCTTTTTTTGCCATTTGGGTTAGCCTATTTTTTAAGGTGTTATTTTCTTCAGTATTTTTTTGGGTCTCCTTTAGCAAGCTGTTGACTTGTTTTTCATGATTTTCTTGCATCACTCTCAGTTTTTCCTCTACTTCTCTTGCTTGCTTCTCAAAATCCCTTTTGAGCTCTTCCAAGGCCTGGGACTGATTTATATTTTTCTTGGAGGCTTTGGATGTAGGAGCTTTGGCTTTGTTGTCTTCTTCTGGTTGTATGTTTTGATCTTCTTTGTCACCAAAGTAAGATAATATAGTCTGACTTTTTTTGCGCTGCTTACTCATGATCCCGGCCAATTACTTGAATTTTAAACTCTTTGTTAAGGTAAAAGTCTGCTTACAATGTGAAGAGTGTACTGTCCCAAGCTTCGGGGGTTTGTACAGCTGTTTTCAGAGATACTTCTAGGGACCTGTAAATTTTCAGTTCTTGCAAGGTGCTATGATAAAGGGCGAGGTGTTTCCTCTCCTCCTCCACAATAAGCTCCACTGCACCAGTGTTCCTCCTCACCCCAGGACCGCCCCTCAGAACTGTGACCCAGATCCAAGCACCTGTAAAGCAAGAGATTCCTGCCTAAGCACTGGCAAAGAGATCCTTGCAATCCCTCTCTGATCAGCCACTTGATTCCCCCTCAGTCTATTGGCCAGAAGCTCAGGAAAAAGCCGTGGCTCCGGGCTACGCTCGAGACTTGCAGCTGAGACCTAGTTCCTCTCTCACCCCAGTCACAGACTTTTCCCACTGACCTTCTAAATTGTCTTTGGCGTTCAGGGGTTGAGAAATCTGGAAACCGCCACAGCTGCCGTGATTCAGTCCTCTGAGGCCTGCTCCAGGGTCGCTGCGGCCTGCGCACCCACGCCTAACTGTGCTCCTCTCCCCTCCCGGTGCGATATACCTTTCTGATCAACCATCCAAGCTGTCTTGGGCTGTAAATTTGTTTCACTCTGTCTTTTTGTGTGTTCTGCTGCTTTAGAATTTGTTTAGAGTCATTTTTTTAGGCATTTGGAGGGCTTTGGGAGAGAGCTCAAGACAGTCACTGCTTTCCCTCTGCCATCTTGGCTCCTCCCCCTTAATGGTGTTACTTGTATGTATGCCCTTCCACTTATGAACTCTATGAGTGTTCATTCTTTTCTATGACACTGCATATTTGTGGTAATGTACCATAGGCTTAAGGGGTGAAATGTCTTGTTTCTTACTACGACATTTTGTAAATGTCTTTGTTTTGAACTAGTTATGACCTCTGGATCACTTTTGAAAGAAAACACATAGGGGTTGACTTGTGGGTTATAGTTTCATGAATCTCAAAGACCCACAGAATACTTTGAACCTGGGGTAGATGTCAGGGTGACCCAACCTGCCAATGTGAGTTGGGGAGAGGGGGTTTCAAGGAGGGGAGATAACCCAGAGGAGCCCAAACTGTTGACTTACTTTGCTCTAAAATTGTCTTTCAAGGTGCCAGGGGAGAGAGGTAGGTGCAGTGAACTGATGGAATCAGCATAATAAGACCTGAAGAAGAAAACAGATTTTTATAAATTTTTTGAAACAAGGGCTTAGCCTAAATAGGAGTAAGGAGAGCTGAGGTTCAATAACAGAAGGAATACCTTGTATTAATTAATACATATTAATTAAGCACATACTATGGGTCTGGCCCTGTGCTAATAGTTGGATGTATAAAGGGAAACAAAAGTGAAATAGTCCTTGCCCTAAGACATTTTATCAGGAAAAACAGCTTATACATATAAAAAAGAGATACAAAATATTTATCAAATAAATAAATACAAGATAATTTTGTCAGGGAGACAGCTGAATGGATGAGTCAAGGTCCTGTAGGTGATGGCCCTTGGGCTGAACTTTAAAGGAAACTTGAGGATTCTAAGAGGCAGAGGTGAAGAGAAAGTGCATTCCAGGCATGAGCGACAGTCTGTCAAGGCTCAGAGATGAGAGAGAGGATATTTTGTATGAAAAGTGGCAAGTAGGCCAGTATACTTGGAAGGGAGAGTACATGAAGCAATATGATATGTAACATACCTAAAAAAATTCATAGATTTGGAAAGAACTTGAAAGGCTATCTCCCCTCCATTTACTTTACAAAGGACAATACTTAGACTAAGAGAGATTAACAGTCTTGCCCACACAAGAAGTATCAGAGGTAGTCCTCTGACTCCAACATTTTGGCTGTTTTTCCTTTATCGCACTGCTTCCAAGTGGCTCCCTTTAAGGTGTCTGGAGCCAGAGTCTGAAGGGCTTCAAATACTAACAGAGTTTTATTTTGTCTTAGAGGCCAAAGGGAGCCATTGGGGCTCATTGAGCCTGGGCATTACAAGGTCATATTTGTGTTTTAGGGATAGCAATATGGCAATTGTGTGGAGGTTAGATTAGAGATGGGAGAGACTTGAGGTGGAAATATTGGGATTTCGCTGTTTTGTGTCCACTGTTCTAGAGTTTCTGTGCCCAGAATTCAGGCAGGAAGAACAGCCAAATTTTCTCCTGCCTGTGTTTTCAATTTTACTTTTCATGTGAAAATTTTATTTATTATTAGAGCTGTAACTAGAAATTCTAACGCACAGGCCAAACACCAGGAAACACACTGTGGAGAAGCAATACAAATTGTACCATCATATCAATTTTTTGTTGAAAGTGGGGGACACAAGGCCTGTACAAAGAGTAACTCTTGGACACTGTCCACAGCAGAGACTCTGAGACGCCCCAGAGACTTCTGGGAGAGGAGGCAAGATTGTATCAGGAAGGCAAGGAACTTACCTAGGATACAGTTGCCTGGAGGAAGCTCTCATATGGTAGATTCCCATTTTAACTAAATATTTTGACATTAGATGCTAGTCTTAATTGTACAGTGCTGTCACTGCCCTCTAAATTTTAGTGTATTGAGCAAATATCTGATCACTCCTCCCTAGCTATAATGGTACTCCCTATCTCAAGATGCTAAGCTCTGTGTCAGCAGGATCATATCTTTTTTTTTGAAAGTAGCAATTTTATTTGAGTTAAAATTATTTATAAAAACCCAAAGACATACTTCACGAAACTGTTACAAACTATTTTTTCCTGCCATTGGCTTTTGCTCCAAAGATCACAGCTGAGAAATACTGCATAAAATAAAAATAAGATTGGATTCAGAAAAGTACTCTACTGTTCTAATTTCCAATTGATAGTATTTACAGAAATGTTTACAATGGAAAAAAAGTTACTTTAAAATTTTAGTTAATTTTCGAGTCAGCCTCAAAGACCCTTGAATGCAGAGTTCTCTGAGGGTTCCATAAACACAAATGCACTGCAGTTCAAAGGTGACCACTTTGCCCTACTCCCCTCATCCAATTCTGCATCTCTATCAGCTCTTGACAATTGGTTATTATATAAAAAAAAAAAACCCTGTTAAACCTGAGGTAAATCAATTCCCATTCAAAACGATTACCAGTGTAACAGAGAAATAGAGTTAGCCCTGATTTTCTTCATTATTTCTGAGTTTTCATTATTTCTTACCATCTGCCACTAGTCACTTTAGCCTACATCTGTCTTCTGAAATCCAAAGATCAACGAAAAAAACATTATTCTAAAATTAATCAAACAAGAGACAAAATGCATCTAGCTGATTTATCCAGCAGGATCATGTCTTAAACAGATCCACAGGAAGGGTTAAGGCCCACAGGATCTAGCATAGTGCCTTATACACCGTGTGTGTGTGTGTGTGTGTGTGTGTGTGTGTGTGTGTGTGTGTGAATGTTCTCATGCTTCATCTTCTACTATAGGAGAAATCATTGTGCAAGTATATAATAGTGAGGTGGAAAGCTTAATTGGAGCAGTGGTCATTCCAATGCCTGGAACCACGTGGGGTAGAGAGTACTCAGCATCCTCAGTGTTTTACAAGCTGGCACTCAGGGACTGCGTGGGTGGGAACTGCCAAGATGTGATCATATTCCCCGCCCCCAGTCCCCACCATCCCCACCAAGCACATACAGACTTCACCGCCCCGGAGTCCCTCAGTTCTGGCCTGAGCCACGACCTGGAGAGTTGCGCAACTATGGATTTCGGACTCTGAACAACCTGAGGAGGAAGACTTGGGAACACAGAGAAACCCCGAGTGTTTGCCCTGCCCCGCATCCCCACTCCTCCTGCTTGGCTTCCCGCAGTGCCCAATCAGGTCGCTCCTCCTGCTTCTCCCCTGGCCAATCAGGAGAGGCGGGAGCGAAGCTAGGGTAGGGAGCTCCTAGCCGTGGGCTCAGAGCGTAGCCGGAGCTCTCACTCTCCACTATTCTTCAGCCGGGAGCCTGTCGCCTGCATCGCCACCGCCACGGCCACCGCTGCTGCTGCTGTATGACTTCCCTGCCGGCGTCCGTGGACCCTGCTGGCAGTTATCGAGGTAACCCCAGCCGTGCCTTCCACCTCTACCGCCATCCCTTCGCCCGCTCCTTGCAAGCCTAAGAAGTGTCTCCAGAGACCCAAGGGGAAGGCAGGTGGAGCTAGGGGAGAGAGAAGGGACGTCTGCTAGGTCCTAGTGCCATTGAGGTTCCCTTCACCTCTGGCTCTTCCTTCCATGGACCCGAGGAAGCGAGCTTGCTCCTGCTCCTTCCTCTGCCCACTATTCTAGCGTCAGCTTCCCTGCAACCAGTCTGGGTGCTTCTGTTCGGGCTCGAGCTTACTATGAATCTGGTTCATCTAAGTGTGTAACACTTAGGGGGGCGGCGGGATATTGGGAAGAAAAAAAAGTGTTAGGAATGGGCGTTAGGAGGCAAGATACCCCCAAGAACCTTCACCAACCTTTCCAGACGCCTGTCCAGGGTAACTGCTACGGCCAGCTTAGAGGGATGGTAGGGCTGCGCTGGGGTGAATAATTCATGCGGGGGTAGGTTGTAGAGAAAGCTGGGAGGCACGTTTGCAAGTGTGACCTCCCCTAAGGGAGATCTGGAAGTGTTGAAAATTTCCTCTCTTGGGGTGTGTATGTGTGTGTGTGAGAGAGAGAGAGAGACCAAGTACGAATTGGACTTCCATCCAGGACGGTGGTGGTATGGGGTCTGTTCAGAGATTGCTGGGCAGAGCAGGTGACCGACTAGACAGATTTCCCTCTCCATGTCTCCCTCTGCTTATTATTCTCCAATGCTTTGTCCTGGAGCACCTCAGCGTCTGTCTCTCTCTTTAGTGATGCAGATACCAACAGCTTTCAGTCCCACTGCCTACTTGTCACCCGATAGACATTGGCTCTGGTAATGAAGATTCAAACCTTCCTGTTGCTGAAACCTCGTAGTCTTGTTTCTCTGGTGGTTTTCTCTTCAATATTCCCTCTCTGTCCATAGTGCTTACTTATACCTTCTGCTTGCCATCAATAAGGAGAAGGAAATGCATATTTATTTGCCACATCTAAACTATAGCTTCCTTCCAAATCGTCTGGTTGTCTTTTGGGGCTAGAGTTACCCGTGGATCTGCTTATCCGAGTGTGTAACACCTGAGGGGGGCACTGGGATGGTAGGGGTGAGAAAAGTGTATTTGCATGTCTCCTGCAGCCCTTTAGAAAAGGAACTGCTGAAAGCCAGCTTCCCATCGAGAGAACATACTCTCTTGATGCCCCTACAGAAGGGAGCTGGCAGTGTGGGATGAACTCATGAGTGAGTCATTAAGAATGGTATTTGGAAGCTGCTGGCACCTCTACCTGAATCAGCAAATGTTCTCTACCATTTCTCCATTTGTATGGCTGACTATCACTATTCTTCCAGGCTTGAATAAATAAATTGCTCCCTTTAGCTTAATGTATTGAAAATGTATTTCCACTGTTGGGGGGGGGATTAAAAAAAAACAATCTTTACCTACGATCATAAATTTTACATCTGTTAGAGAGATCTGTTACTGGTCAACTAGCCCAATTCCTTCATTCTACAGATAAGGAAAATGAGGCTTAGAGAGTGAAATTATTGGCCTGAGTTACCAGTGATAGTTAATGGGAAGCTGAGACTCAAACCCAGACCTCCTCATTCAAAATGCAGTGTTATTTCCACTATCTTGTTATATTTTATTCCAAAATCCAAACATCACATTATAAAAACAAGAGGATTTGAGTGTCCTTTTGGCTCTTCTTAGCTCCTTACTCCCTTCCTGTTTGAAGCCAGATAGAATTAGATAATTCTCTTGGCTTTATTCTCTTTCTCCATTATCTATGTGTTTCTGTTGAAATAATTCTTTCCCTCTTTGAAACTTGTCTGTGCAGCCTTATTTTTTAGAAGATGTACCTAAAGAGTAAGCCAGTATTGTTCAATGTGTGGCCCTGGGCCTGCCTAGGCTTCTCAATTCTATGTGATTAGTGACCAACTAGGAAAGAGAGGGGCATTGCCATTTGTATTCATGTTGTAATTAAAAGAGACGTTACATACTTTGAAAATGCTAAAATATTAGAATATAAAGACATACGAGGGGGCTTTAGCCAACTAGCAATAGAAAAGACACTTTTTGATGCTTCAGTAAATTGGAAATAGAAATTTGGGGTGGGATAAAGGAAAGACTAATCATTGAGGGATTTTGTTGATGACACTGGCGAATTCTGGTTTCTATTCTTAGAGTAAATGTTTAAAGCTGTATTACTCTTTTCATTGGTAATTTCAAGTGTTCTGGCCAGTTACTTATATGCCCAGATGATTTGATTCATTTATGTATCATTGTTTCCTGTTTCTTTTCCTTGCTTAATCCTGTGGCTTGTTCAAACAAACATCCCTGCCCTGTTTATTTTCTTTAAAACTGAAGATAATCAACACGTAGCAGCTTCAGTTAGTATTCTGAATTCTACCACTTCTCTCTCTCTCTAGCACACACACACACACACACACACACACACACACACACACACACACAC